AGGAAAATTTTAATCTTTGAGGAAGTCTCAAGCCCCATTTCTATTAAACCTTCCAAAACCAAAAAATTTCCTTCGACACAAGTGGATTGATATTCAAAATCTTACTGCACATCATTAAAACTATTAAATCAAATTCAGTAATCGGTTAAAAACCAAATTAACTGAAATAAATTTCCAAATTGGTACAGCTACTATTTTGGTTTTAGCGGTTTCTAATGGGATCAAAGATTATTGAAATCCAAAATAAATTGAACCAAAAATATAATGTTCTTCATATTAATAGTAAGGAGAAATTTTGATACAAAACCCAAAATTGAACTACACCGGAACCATGCCAGTAGAGATAAAACAATAAATCTCTTCTTTTCAGGAGAATTCAGCGAGTACAGTTTCACATTTAGCTTCCAAAATCTTCACAGCTTCAGTGAAGAGAACGTCCGGAGGCAGTGATCCAGTGGACTCAATTTTAACTGACAAAGACAAATATGACAAACATTAATGAGGGTTGCTTACAGATAGATCACGAATTGCAGTAGAGCAAAAAGAATTGTTTCTTCTCTTCTTACATATAAAATGGTCCTTGACACTGCGAAGATCCACCCGGTGTGCCAAATCATCATCTCTTTCGCATTCCCTACACAGGGTGCATTTACGCGGCTGTGCTACGGTTGCTCTCTTCCTACCTGTTTTCCACAAGTCCGTATGAAATCAAATTTCAGAAATGTTGTGCATGCAAGTTTCTCAGGTTTCATTAGACTCTCCTGTTTGTTACTCAAACACAAAAAAGTGAGAAGAATTGAATGAAACTTGGGAAGATTTTATTCACCTTTTCCCATGTCTTCGATGTCAAAAACATTCTGTGGACAGACATTTACAAGTCGTTCAGCAAGCTCATCCTCAACTTCCTCTAGTAGAACCACCTAAGATAGTATAAACAAAAGCATTACAAGAGAGATTAGGAAGAGGGAAGAAAAAAAAAAACCTTTTTCCTAGAAAGTATAATAAATTGGGGTATAAACTTCTCACCTCAGGAAGCATTCGGTACCACGCCGTCCCTACTGGAGACCACTTTGCATGCGTTTTACCAATGCCCTTAACTGCGTGAGCTTCAAGCTCAATTTCCTACAAAAAGAAAGATAAAATTAAGAGGCAAGTGTTTGGTTCATCTCTAACCGCAAGTAAAATCCTCTTAAGTGTAACCAATTAAGAAGAGAATACATGGAAACAGTACCTGACCAGGGCTGAGTTTTGCTATCAAGATATCAGGATGGGTCGGAGTGATAGGATTATCAGCAAATTCCGGGAAGGAATCTTGGCTCTGATTGAATGAAGTGTAGGTTTTTGGCTTTGAGGTTGAACCTCCTGATTCTTTGAGAAACTCACTTCCATGTGGTAACCATTTCAGTTCGTTTGTTAAAACTACACAAAATGACACCTTTCATGAGAGATCAAGCTGAGAATAAAACAAAGGAATCTTCTGGTACTAACTAAAGAACAGATATATTACCATTAAGACGTGATACACCTTTTGGACATTTCACATGAAGCTTGAAAACAATGGTGTTCTTTTCATTTGGCTGATTATTTTCTACAACACAGAGATAAAAAAAAAAAATTAAGCTGACACAAAGAAAAAATATTTGCTTATGGAGATGGATCACTTTGCCAGTGAATATTGACTTACCGGATAAATATTCAAAGAGCCTTGGATCAACGGCAATTGGAATAAGACCCATTCTGTGAGCAAGAACTTCGTCTATAATAACCGATGTGTTGTTTGCTATAAGTACTTTTTCAATAGCCATTGAAGGAAGCTGCAATAAAAGAAACACTATAAAACCAAATATTCTAATAATCATTGATTCATCAGAGGTTGTGAGAGGCAGTAGACAGACCTCAGCTATAAGGATCCTTCGGAATGCATTGGCCAATGATGCATCGATACCTATCATATCAAACTCCATATCTGTCTCTGTGCAACTAATCACATTAACTTTGAAACTCTCATAGAAGTTTTCTAGTTTCACAGTACTGTCGTCTACTCCCGCAACATAGGCACCCGAGTAAATGTTACCCTGAGTCTACAGGAAACACAAACACAAGGAGGAGAACAAGATTAAGCACCTCCAATTTCCAAACAACCATCACGATCCCACATATCATTCAAGATTTCGACAAAAGACCAAAGCCGCAATGTATTCGACACAAAATCCATGAACACAGAAAACGATAAAACCATTGAGAAAAGCCAATAAATTTGCGAATTTATAAGCAACATATACAGAGCATAAGTGACTGTAATTTTGAAACAGTTCATACATGATCAGGAGCATCATTTTTTGAGACGGCACGAGTTCGCCGGAGTTTCGGAGGCGGAGTAAGTCCGGGAGGGACGTCGGGGAGCTTGTTAATGTCGAAATTCTTGGCGAATATCTTCTCTTCTTGGGTCGGCATCTTTCTTCTCTGCAGCAAAATTCGATTGTGAGAGAGTAATCTTAGGTTAAACCCCTTTTTCTAAAATAGAACAGAAACAACTAGGGTTTATCAAAAATTCGATGGAAACCTTAGAAAGAGGCAAAATTGCGTTTAGAAAGGAAACACCATTAATCTTAGAAGCTTACCTTGAGAGGAATTTGAGTGCGATTTT